ATATTTCGATATTGGCACAGTATAAAGAGGTTCCACAGTATAAGGAGTGGAACCTTTTATACTGTGATATTGGTTAAATGAGCAAAAATAGGAAGTAAGGGCAAGATATGTAGTTTCTTGGAGTGTTGTGATTGGTCAAGGGAGAGATTTTAAGGAATGGATAGGAGAGAAAATTGAGTAGGGACTTAAAAAAAAAGAAACAGGAGAGAGTTCAGTTTGAGATTTTAGAGAGAAAAGGTGTTTTTAGTTTTTTCGTAAAATTATAAATACAAATAAATATTGTTGTTTTTTGCCGGTGAATAAAGTGAGGAGTGAAAGAACGTTTGATTGTCTGAAGTTTTGTGATAGCAGCCAGCAGTGCAAGCAGATAATGTCAAAGATCCAAATTGTAAGTTCTTGTCTTTTTGAGAGGACACCAGAGTCTGAGCGTTAAGACGTAACAGCTTATTGCAAATTTCAAATTCGATAAGCATTAGGTTCTTTGGGTAAAGATCAACTTAGTAGGAGAGTAGCTGAACTAGAAGGAGATTGTATCGTAGAAGCAGACATTTTAATTTATGAATTAAATTTCTTTTTAATTTTTAAGACACATTCACAAGGATTTAGTGGATTAGAGTGGATTAAAACTATTTTATCGGTGACTAAATAAAAACAATTTTCTCGTTAACTTCTAGAACCTAGAATCGTATTATTATTAAAGACGACCTTCTCCGAAAAACAGAAAAATCTTCATACTATATAAATTTTGTAGCTTTAAAAGAAATCCATTCAGCTGTATATTGTACTCATATAATAGATTTTTGTAATTGATTTTTTGTAATGGATTTTTGTTGTATAAAGATATTTTGCCTTAAACACGACTTTCGAAAACATATTTACCGAATATATCAGTTATGTTTTGGCATTATTCTTTATCTAGCTGTATTGTTTTTTATGGCTATCCAGAAAACTAAGTACTAAAATAACTGAGCAGCGCTACAGGAAAGTCATGTAAATATGTCCAGATATCAATTTATATTCTAATTTTTTTCCAACGGGAATAATAAAAATAAATTATTCTAAAACTCCGCACGATACTTGAGAGTGCAGGTTTTAGAAAAAAAAGTACTTTGAAGGTGTTTATGTACTAATCGTCAATATAGCAATAGAGTTGTGTTCTTTCGATAAAACAACAATTATTGTAGCCGAAGATATTGATATTTTATTATCTTCAGTCAAATTGTCACTTCTAATAAAAATATAGGAAACTTATTAAAGGTAAAAAAGCAGAAAAAGTATATGACTGTGAATAATTCAGCACAAGTAGTTTAAAGGCATTGATGCATGCTTTTTTCGGAAGCGATATCACGTCAGCTTTTTCTTATCAAAAGAAAAAGCTGACGTGCCAAAAATTATAAAATTACTTTCTGGCGATACTGATTTGCAAAATTAAGCGAAAACTTTTAACGATTCAAAAACTCATCGAGGGTTAATCAAAAATGAAGGCTTTAAAATAATAGCTGCGTTGTATATGGGTGAAAGTTCTAAAATTGAATTGAATACTCTCCGATATTTATATTTTAAGAAAGAATACTAGAAAAAGAACTCGTTGATTAATGCTTCCACCTACTTAATCTGCAGCATAAAAACCCTATTATAGAATATATTGTCAAGTTCAACAGTGGCTGAGTAATAATTTGAACTCTAAAGAGTGGGGTTGGAAGTTTGAAAAATGATCAGAACCTATCAGGATATTACAGCCGCCACCAGCAGAAAATATATTAAAAACGATTAGCTGTATCGGGTTTCTCATTATATTTTGACCCCCACTTATTTTCCTTAATTTCGGGAATACAAAAAAAAGTTTCAAATAAAAGTTATATTATTTTATCTGTACCGACCAACAATGTAGCAACAGACCAAATTTTGTATACAAGGAGTGCCCAATAAAATGCATCTTCAATATTTCAAATGGGACACCCTGTATTTTTTTATAGTTTTGAGTAGCCCTGCATTTTCTGATTACCAATATATAACATTGTAAAACATTAGTTTTGTTCTATAATGGGATATGGTACTACAAACGGGTAACCATAGGTGACTATGCAAATGATATTTCAAAATTAAACAATTAATAATTTATTATAATCTGCAAGTCCTCATACCAAAATGGGTTATGCTGAAGATAAAAAAGTAGATATATTCTCAATTTATGTAAAAATTAATAAAAGCAAGCTACCGGCAAGAAGAAAATATAGGCTGATATATCCAGATCGACAGACTCCTTCTGCAAATACATTTTTATATAATTATCGTCGTCATAAATGAAAAAATGTTTGAACGGTAGAAACGTACTATCGTAAGGAATGATGATGTAGATCTTAATACTTTGCAATACTTTGAAGGTAAAAATTAAATACTTAAATAATATATTAAATCCATAATAACATTTTTATTTTAGAAAATTCCGAAACTAGTCTAAACAATGCTACTAATCCATTCGAGAAAAGCCTTGCGACGATACATAGAGTTTTAAAAATCACAACTATAAGCCGTACAAAATATTACCGGTACAAAAACTTACCGATGTTCATAAGAGAAAGCGTTTACAGTTCTGTCAAGACATGCTTACAAATTTGAACAATGATCCTAATTATTTTTATAACATTTTATGGACAGATGAATCAAATTTTTCAACTTTTTTAATAGAAGAAATAGGTATTCGTGGGAACAGAAAAATAATAGAAAAAGAAAAATTAAGCAAATAAAATAGTCAGGAAGAAAATCAATAAATGTGTGGTGCGGAATATTTTAAAACAAAATAGTTGGACCATTGTTTTATGATTATAAATTAACTGGGAAATCATATTTGGACACAGTCATTACAGAAGTGGATGAGTTATTAAATCAAAATTATATACAAAATCAATTAAATAGTATGATATGGCAACAAGATGGAGCACCGCTACATAATGTCGTAGCCGTTCAAGAAGATTTAAATATTCAATTTAATGTGTGGATCGGCAATAAGGGTACCATTACATGGCCACCAAATAGTCCCGACTTAACACCATGTGAAAGCTTTTTATGGGGGTTTTTAAAAGAAAAAGTGTATTTTAATTCAAATACAAATATTAACACTATCACGGCAAAAGTTCGCGCGGAAATTGAAAATTTAAATGGTCATAATAACACAATATCTGACGCATTAGAAAATTTGAGACGAAGATATTACTTGTGCATTGATAACAATGAAGGGCACTTTGGGCATCTATTGTAATCTTAAATGTAGTATTGTAAGTCATTAATTTTCTTGACTTACTAAATATATTTTTTTCTTATCTTAGTATCCTATAGTCGTACCATACGGCATTATACAACAAAACTGATGCAACACTATGGTATATATTTGTAATCAGAAAATACAGGGCTACTCAAAACTATAAAAAAATACAGGGTGTCCCATTTGAAATATTGAAGATGCATTTAATTGGGTACTCCCTGTATACAAAATTTGGTCTGTTGCTACACTGTTGATCGGTACAGATAAAATAATACAACTTTTATTTAAAACTTTTTTTGTATTTTCGAAATTAAGGCAAATAAGTGAGGGGTCAAAATATAATGAGAAACTCTCTACATGCAAAACACTCCAAAACATGAAGCTACGTTAAATAGGGTTTAAAATGTTCTATATAATGTACTCATTGCCAAGGCAAAGTACTCGAATAATGCAATAATTTCCAGGACATTAACGGAAATCGATTACGTGCACACATTGGAAATGGTACACATTAATTATGATGAAAAGATAGCAACAGAATAAGAAATTAAAGATGTCTTACTGTAAAAAGCCTAGACTGGAATTTTAGATATATAATGGAATATTATTTAATTTTAATAAAAATACTCAGCCATACCGTAAAAAGCCTAAGGAAGAATATTAAATATATAATGGAATAAAATTTAATTTTATTAAAAATAATATTTTTTTATATGAAAGTATTTATTTTTTAATTGAGTTAAAAACCGATTTTATTGCTATTATTATTTTATAGCGATTATTAAAATAAATTTTATAATTTGAAATCACATTTTTAAATAAATTTCACTTATTGTATTACGTAATTTTTCATAATTTATACACACACACACACACACACACACACACACACACACACACACACACACACACACACACACACACACATACACACACACACACACACACACACACACATACACACTACACAACTACACACATATATATACACATACATATACACATACACACACACACATATATATATATATATATTATATATATATATATATATATATATATATATATATAAATATATATATATATATATATATATATATATATATATATATATATATATATGTTGATTTGTAGTCTCAGCAATTGGTCTGTGGGAAATAAAACTCTATTTGTTATTTCTCAATATTTCGTCACGATTTTGTGACTTCTTCAGGAGAAAACTGTAAATTTATTATAATTATTATATGTAAACAAAATAAATATTTCAATACTTACAACTATAAGATTAAAAATTTAGATTTTGATAACATATCTACTTAAATAAATGACATTTTTGATTTTAATTTATTTGGGAGTTATGGTAATCGCAATATTTTATAGAGTGAATTCCCATTGTACAATTTTTAGTGAATAAGTTAAATAAGTTTGTCATAATAATTGTTTATTTTTATAAAACTTTTATATTTATACACAATTATTCTAAAACCAATTGTTCTGAAGATATATAAGAAACAGGAGGAAAGATATCGAATTTTTAAAACAATTTTTCATATTTTGTTTATTAAAAAGTTAAACCCACATTTTACAACTCAAACAGTGTAGTTATTATTTATAGTGATATTTTAGAGCGATTTATACAAAAAAGTGCGACTGTATGCTTCACATCCAACTCAAAATAGATATCGATATCGAAATGTCATATTTCGTACCAAAACGAAAGATAAAAAGCGTTACTCACGAGACAGAGTATCCTTTCTTCTAACTTGTACTCCGATGATAGCCTCCATTGGTACCTCGGTTCTCGGTATACTAACAGCATGTGGTGGTAGATAAATAGGTTCCAGAATACCAAAAGTACATTCACTGTTAATACTCGTATGACAGGAGGCATGGCTCTGAAAAATACATATCGTAGCGTTTGAAATGTAGATAAATATTAATAAAAGCAAACTAAGCATAAAAATGTAAAAGTATATTAGAGTATAGCTAACTCAAAATCGATAGAGATTAGCCAAAATTAAAGTTTGTTCTTGGTATTAAATGGCTTTGGCTTTGGTATTACCAAATATTGTGATGTTTTTTTCCTGGTTTTTCCCTCATAATTTACTATGGAATCACTAACAGGAGAATTTTACTGTCATCATGTCATGTGTTTGTCTTTTTAAAGACGAATTTCATGCTATGATTTTTTTCTGACGGATATTCTCAAGTTAAAGTTGATTTCATGTAATCGAATGAACTATCTTATAAGTAAAGTCGTCCCAGGAGCGCAACTCAACAATATTGGCAATATCATTTTAAAGTCGTCTACTTTAAAATGCATAATGTATGTCTGAATTCTCAATATAAATTAGTCAGATAAAATTAAATTATTAGAAGAATTTTTCACTATGTAACAAAAAACAAAATTTGTTTAATTTACTGTTTGTATTTTGAGAACGATTTCCGAAGTGGAAATTAAAACGTCAATAAACGTATTTTTATCTTTAATTGTGGCTTATTCCCAGTTAAATAGTAATTAATTTACAATGCCACAAGAAAATACCTTCAGAACAATACCAAAGTAATAGACTACAAGCCCATGGGACATTTTAAGGGGTCATTTTATCCAGTATAAATCACATATAAATCAATACTACAATATGTAATAACAACTTTAGAAAATATGCCGTCAATTTTTATCGGTACAAGTAAGTACTCAGGTATGGTAAACTTGCCACTGAAGGGAAGAGAGGGTATTTTGGTCAAACATTTTTGTACGGCATTTATAAACTTAGGTAATACTAAAATAATGACCTGCGACCTAATGCCGTACAAAAATATTACTATCAGGAGTACGGAATTTTTCACTCCATTTTCGGCGAATTGATACAGTACGGATTCATACACTTAGGTTCGGATTCTTATTAGGGTACTTTTGTTTTGTAATGCCGTACATATCGGCTGTGACCGGGGTTAAAAATCTAGGGCGTAACCAGTGCCGGATTTAGTTCATGGACCGCCGGGGGCTAAGTCATACTATACCGCCACTCTCCAGTAGGTATAGATGCGCCTTAGGTTAACAATTCATTAAAACTATTTTATTATTAGGTAATTTATTATAAATATACAAAAAAGCCACAAAGACACAAATTCACAATTTATAAAGTAAAATGACATAATTATTTACAAACAAATCTTCCTGGACTTCCTACTTGCAAACAGGTCGATGATTTTATTAAAATCTAATTTTGTAAGCAGATCATTATTAATATTTAAAACAGCAAACGAATTTAATGTTTCTTCTGTCATTGTATTTCTCAAATAATTTTTGACCCGTTTTAAAGTGGAAAATGATCTTTCACCAGTTGCGTTAGTAACCATCAACGATACGAAGATTCTTAGTGCTATTTCTACGTTTCGGAAGGTTGCAATTATATTATTTTTATGTAAAAGCTCTATCACAAAAGTAGCACTGTGAGTTGTTGGATTTTTTTACTCAACTTGGCCTAGTTGTGACATTATAAAATGTTTTAATTGTTTTACTTGCTAGAGATGTATCCAAGTCATTCGAATAAATACTCACTAATACCGACGCTTTGTCTGAAATCACGTTATCCTCTGAAAGAGGTAGAAAAAGTAAAAATGAGAAAGTGATGGCATGATCTGCATAAGCTTTCCCTCTAGATTTGTGATAAGAGCTGCCCCTTTTGTTTAAATAAATACATTTATCACTAAGAGTCTCTTAAAAATGTTGTAATGAGCTACACAAAGACGAACATGTATGTAAGTCTATGTTTGCGCTTTGTAAAGATTTACTCGCTAGGTCAGTTCTTTCCAGTACTTCGAACCAAAAGGCAATATAAATACCAAATTCCAATGTAGCCATCTTTTCTTGTAAATTGTTTGCTTGACAGCGAACTGCCATCTTCTCATCGTCGTTAGAGGAGGGATAACTCTAAAGTGGTTGCTTTATATTTTGATAGCATAATTTAAGAGCTTATAATGCATTAAATCGTCCTGATCATCGAGTCACATTAATTCTTTTTGGAAGAAATGTTGTATGGCCACAATTTTTCAATAATTCAGTGAGTCGTCTCCGTCTGTAAGTTGAAGCTGAGAAAAAAACATAAATTTCTTCAGCAACTAGAAAAAAATACTTTCCATAGTGCATTCTGCCGCATGTTGCACAATCAAATTTAGGGAATGGGTTGCACATGGTACGTATTTTGACAAACTATTCCTAGATTTTATTCCAGCTTAAAATAAAATTTTTAAGATGTTCTAAATGAACGACTGAATTTTCATGACTATCACATTTTTCTTTAGCCTTTTTCCAGTCGTCAACTCCTGTAGAAAAGGAAAAAGTGCAATTTTCGCTTGAAAAGAGTCGGCAATATAAGCAAAATAAAGAGCCTGTGCTTTTGGAATAAACTAACCAGCCACACCAAATTTTTTCACCATTCTTTAAAACTTTATAGAATAGTGATTTAGTGCAGTAGCTGTTTTGTTTTCCTATTTTTCTTTTTGAACATTAAAAGTCTAAAGAATTAAGATCCTGTGTTTTGAATTCGTTCAGCACTTCATCTACACAATTTCTTGGTCAGAATTTTGAATCTTGTAAATGATTAACATCACTTTCGACTAGAATTTGCCGTTCAGGAGAACTCTTTTCAGGATGTAACTCGATATCACAAAGTGGGTCTTAAGTTGCCGTGGATGAATCATCTCGACGTGATGAAGATCCAGCTGCAAATTTTATTTTATTCAAAATTAACTAAATCGTTCAAATAAACCTACCTTCTAAAACATCTGAAACTATTGCAATTGGATCGTCTTGAAAAGAAGTGCTCGTTGGTATACTATCTTGCCTGGATTTGGTAAAAAAAATCTGAATCTTGGGTTTTTTTTTTAATACAGCATTTAATTTTTGTTGTTTTTCGAACATTTGTCGTTTACAAAATGCACATCCTTCCTTTCCGCTCATTTTTTAGAAACGTCACGAAATCACTTTTCTAATATATAAGTTAAATTTAAGACTAGTCTCGAAAATTGCGCTAATACGACTGATGAGTTGACGACTGACGGACACGCTGCCGCCAGGCGCAGTGGCGCTATCCGATTTCCCGAAAACATAAAAAGTGTTTTTGTACGACCTGTTACCGCATGCACGGATCTTATTGGTGACGAGACAAAATTTTATTACCATGATATTTCATATAGAATTAAAACGTGATCGGAGCGATATACCTCCACTCAAAATTTACCGCCGGGGGCTAATAGTCCCATAGCCCCCCCTTAATCTGGCACTGGGCGTAACCCTTGATTTTGATCTCCATTCGTTGAGGTAATTGAAAAATGTACGGCATCAATTCCAAATGATTGACGTGAAAAATAATTTTTGGCAACTATGCCCTTTAAAAGTTATGGTTCTTGCAAATCTTTTTGAACAGTTATCTGTATTTGAGAATAAAATTGTTGTTTTTTTTTTGGTAAGATAATTATTTCTTGTATGGTAGTCGCTGGTTTGGTGTAACAAACAGACACTTACAAATATCTGGGACACGAAATCAAAATAAGCAGAGACAATCAAACACATGAAATATAGAGGCGATTAGGCCTAACTTAAGCAGCATTTGGCAAATTAAGCCATATTCTAAAAAGTTCAATTCCCATGTGTCTCAAGCGAAAGGTTTAGAACCAATGTGTTTTATCTGTACAAACTTATGGAGCAGAGACTTTCACGTAAAACACAACGTGTTACACAACGAGCCATGGAACGTGCAATGCTGAACGTGAACCTTCGAGACCACATAACAAATCAACAAATTAGGCAAAGATCAGGAGTTGAAGACGTCATCGAAATAACCACGTCGCTTAAGTGTAACTGGGCAGGGCACTTAGCCAGAGCACAAGATGGACGGTGGACAAGACGTATTATGGAATGGAGGCCCAGAAACTATAAAAGAAGCCGAGGACGACCACCGACTAGATGAACCGATGATATAAAACGTGTAGCGGGAAACTGGCTACAAGCGGCCCAGTGTAGAGAACACTGGAAAGAACTGAGGGAGGCCTATGTCCAGCAGTGGACGCGATTGACTGATTGATGATGATGAGTCGCTTGTTTGACAAAATATAAGTAAAAACTATCAAAATAATTATATTTATCGTATGGCAATTACAACACATTTAGAACAAAATTACAAACACTACTAATATAACATTATATGACAAACTTTAAATCGTTACAAACAAACATCAAGTGTATTAAAATAATTAATTCACTCTGAAGTTGCAAACAGAAAGTCTTCAAGGCTACCATTGTAGGATCTTGAGGGACACTCTCAATAATGTGGTCGATCGTTTGGTTCTCCCCACAGTCACATTGAGAAGATGGATTTTTTCCCCATTTATGTAGCATCTACCCCCATTTATGTAGTATGCACATCTGCCATGTCTGGTACGGATCCTATTTAGAGTGGACCATGGTTTACGTGGAAGATCAAAACCTGATGGCTTGAGGGTAATGCAGGGCATGTTATTTTGCCATGCGTTCCGTTCTTGGGACCATGCATTCGTGATGTTGAACTCCTCATGTATCATTCTTGCCGTTTTCTTTGGTGTTTTTCTAGAACGTAGACGGGTATTTCGTGCATCCTCGGTATCTTGGTGGATCAGCAGGTTTATATTGTTCTCGATCTTTTTGTATTCACGTGTGAGTGCGTCAACTCGTCGTAAATGTGGAGGTAGAATGTGACTTAATACTGGAAGCCATTAGGTGGGAGTTGATTTAATTGTACCAGCTATCATCCTAATAGTGCTGTGTAGCTGAGTGGATCTTTTTTACGTGTGGACTGTGTAACCAAACTGGAGCACAATATTCAGTGGTCGAGAAAATGACGATGCTCTCCAG